ATCTGATAAAATTCAAAAAAAAAAAAAAAAAAAAAAAAAAAAAAAAACATGTCCATATTTGAGTGGATGCCTATGTTATCTAAAATTTGATATCTCTAAGTGCCGTTGTTTTTTTTCACAGTGCGAGAAACATACATTCAAGTAGATTCTTTACTATTTAATTTCTTTAAATATAATGCAGAGTTCTAATACTTCGTGGCAACAATTTGAAAAGTGAAACGCCGTTTATAGAGAACCAACGCAAAATGTCAAAACGAAATTAATAGCCCTTCCGGGCTAATTGCTTCTTTGGACTAATAATATAACATGAAACAAAATTAAATGAAGCGTTAGCAGGCGTGATGGAAATAGCGGACTGATAAACTGCGTGCTCAGCAAGAATGTAAAAAACCCTTAACCAATCCTTTTGGGCGACCGTTAATAACTGAAATGTTTCAGTTTTTTCCCCTTTTATTGTACAGTTTCCCTGGAATGGAAAACATTTTAAATGTTTAGATTCGAAAATCCTCTCTAGGGGCTAGTTTCAAGAAAAAATTAGTTCAGAACTCTTTGATTCCATCTGTCATTGTGGTTTCGGTTAAAAGTGGGCTAAACTTTAAGAACAGAAGCCTCAACTATTTTGTCTGAACCAAAACATCTATTCTTAGCTATTCTGGGTTAAATAATGTACTTAAGAATTAAATTTATGGTGTGAAAGTATATCTGCATGTTTACGTTTTTCTTTTACCAGTATGTATTATATAGTAAGTCATATCATGCAATTATCTGTGAAACTAAATTTAGAATATTCGGATTTGGTAAGTCATTCCTACTACGACGGAAAGCAATGATCTCCAGACTCGTACTAAGAATCCTGAATATAAAATTTCTTTTTCAGTCTTCATAAATTTTAGTTCCTAATATATGGCAGGTTCAAGAAAGAAACAAATATCGTATTTTCTTATACTTTCTACACACATTCTTTCCCTCATTTTGTATGTTCAGTAAGTTTAAAGAAGTTACAGATTTTCCCATAAATAAATGCTGCTTATCTGTTATCCTTTGTCTTAATTTACCAAACTAAACTCATGCAATTTAAAAAAAATTGAATTTATCGTAAAAGCCTTCTACCATAAATAATGCGATGAATAAAAAGTCTAATGCGGACGCCACATGACTTCCTCGTATGGCATATTATATTATACACACTTTTTTTGCTGCATTTCATTAAAACTTATTACTAAGAGTTTCAAATGTAAACATATGACGGTTTCGTTAGGCTTAGCGAGACTTAAACAACTTTTAAGTTGTTGATAATTCTACAATTATTGCACGTAGATTAACCTAAAGGCATAAAAACCTTAATGCGAAGATAAGAACAATATAATTCAATCCTTTTTAAAGCAAAAAATGCACAATTTACCAACATATAACACTAAAAACACTGAGCTCACTGAACCGGGTAACAGAGTGGATATATATCATGTTTGACGTGGACGACTGCAACCAAAAAAGGATGTACGTACAGACATCACGAAAAACATCTCTTCTGAGTCCATTTTAAATCCATTTTGGAGGAAAGAGTTATTTATTGTAGCCGTGAGTACAGGTGTCACGCAAAAACATCGTTACATGGGACTCGAGAGTGGTCCAATGGTATCTGAAACTATTTGCGGGTACAATACTTGCTTTATTTCGTACAAGTTACTAAAAAAAAGCATTTCGCAAACCATAGTAAAACTTAAGTTCTGAATTTCACCGCTTCAAACGACTACAGAAAGTATCTGACTTCTAATTCAGCGAATTCTTTCGGGTCGGAAGGGTCGTCTTGCTCCAAATTCTGTCCTCTTTCTTCTAAAACTTTGAATAACATTTTTGGGCTCAACTGAATTGAATACAACCCACCTCCTTTGCAGAATTATTTACTCCCTCAAGTATTTCCCCCCACACACGTATTGTTTGCCTTATCGGTTGTCAATCTAGTATACCATTGTTGAAATACAATATACCATTGCTGAATGACTCCAAAGGATAAGTGCATTGCGCATGTAGTATAAATTCACAATAATTAAAATAATAATTTTGAAATGATAAATTGAAAAATATAATGGAATGAAAACAAAAATTTTAAAACGATAATTTTATTATGTACTAAAATGTAATTTCATGTACATACCTGATATTCAACTTTCTAGAAATAGCAAATAAACTAGTATGTCTTCCCCTTGTTAATTATGATAAAATTCTACGAAAGCTTAAATTCTATTTTCCGAAGAGAAATATAAAAGAAAATAATATGTAATGCTATATTTTGCGATTCGAGGCCTGTCTTTCATACGTAGATATTCTTAAAACCAGATACACATTCAACCGAATATCCAATTGTGAGAAATGATCTCGGTAACAAATTCAAATCAATGCTGCTGATTCGGCCGTGTTTCTTTATACGGCACTGATGTGCTTTTAAACAGCCTCGAGTCTCTTCCCAGAATATTTTCGAACAAAACAACAAAGAATTTATCGACAGACAATTTAAGCAAAGAATGCAATTTCTGGATGCTTCTTCGAGCTGGTCCACCAATCCCTTATCCCCCTTGAATTCGCGTTATCAGTGTTCAACGTCTCTTCTATCCCAACTTCCCCCATTTTCCTTTCCTCGTCCATATCTGGATTTGAGAAGAATGCATATATCGATTTCAGCTCTTTGGTATCGATTTCAGAATGAAGTTGTACTTTTGTGACGTACTAGTTTTAAGTTTATCTATTTTTTTTCCTTTAAGCTCAGGATAACAGCCAAAAACAAGCAGCTAGACCATTATGAAAGACAGCTGAATATTTAAAAAAGTAGTAAAAGATTTAGGGCTTTTATGAATAAACCGATATTTTTTTTTCTTTTCTTGACATTTGATATCCGGAATTAAAGTCGTCGAGTTTGAATTATTCAGTATTACATTAATAAAGAAGCCATCAAAGAACTTGCATATGAAGGCAACGTGGTTTCCGTATATTCTGGTGTATTTCCGCCCACTTTTAATACAAAAAAATAAGATAAATTTACGGGTGCGCGTTAAATGGTGAATATTTAAAAGTGATACAGTAAAATTAAGGGTAAAATAAGCATACAAGATTAGATTTTCAGCATACAAAAATTTTATTTTTGGTATCTAAAGGCTGTTTATTTAAAAGAAACGACATACTTTATGAACTTAAAAATTTTCATTATCGGTTAATGTGAAAAGCTCGACATACTCGTATTTCATTATATCATCAGGCACATCATCGAATTCTTTCCCATCTTCACCGTCACTGTTACTCTGATCCATAAATAAATAATTATCATCCGTATCAACAAACATCCTTGTTACAACACAATTTCCATTTTCTTTCGCAAACTGATTGACTTTGCATTCGAAACCAGCACTGTATTGTTTCGTTTGGCAGAAGCCATATTTACTATTGAAAGGAACACTAGATCAATTGTCTTTGCACTAAGTCAAATACGATTTACTAAAGCCTTCGACGTTCACATAAAAATCACAGCTTCAAACGACTACAGAAAGATATCTGACTTCTAATTCCGCGAATTCTTTCGGGTCGGAAGGGTTGTCTTGCCCCAAATTTTGTCCTCTTTCTTGGAAAACCTTGAATAACATTCTTGGGCTCAACTGCATTGAATACAACCCATTTCCTTTGCAGAAGTATTTACTCCCTCAAGCATTCCCCTCCACTCGTATTGTTTGCCTTACCGGTCATTCTAGTATACCATTGTTGAAATACAGCATACCATTGCTGAATGATTTCAAAGTTTAAGTGCATCTTTCAGGTTTCTTCGTAAAGGGAAAGGTGACGCAGGAAGATACGGTATATATAAATACGTTGCAAAATGTTTCGAGGCAGACATTATCTTGTATTTTTAAAGTCGTATTTCAGACAGGTGTATTGGCGACTAATGAAATATTTCTTGATATCTTGGCGTAAAAAAGACAGATTTTTCTTCGCAGAATCATAGCGATATTTAATAAGTACAAAATATTCTGCGAAAATTATTTCAGTTTTAATATTTTTATTCATAAATAAGACAAAACATTCTAAGTGGAATAAATCTAGTGCAATGCAATTTTTTTCTTTTATCTATCCATGATAAAATATTTTCAAAGAGCTTGCATTTATATTGAAAAGAGCCCCAATTTTCACATTGCATCAGTTGCATGATATTAATGATTTTTTTTTTCTTAAACTATCAGAATGCTGAGAAGTATAAAATATCAGAGAACTCTGAATAATTTGTAAATAGAAAAAGTCGTTTATATATTTATCTTTTAGAAGAAATAGAGGATGGAGTTTTGTTTCTCAATTTGGGATTCTTCTATGACTAAAATTAGTTTAATGCAATATATTTACATTTAAGCAGAAAATCACCGCAAATATTCAGCTAAGCTGTGTTTTACTAGTTGATTTTATCAAGATAATTTTACTTTTGTAAACCTATTTTAGAAAGGAAATTTACTAATCTTTTCGAAGTTTTAAATAAATACAGAGCAATTTAGATTTCGTTTCAAAACTTCAGAAATTAATGACTATATTTTTAGCTTGAACTATAAAAAAGGACAAGCATATACTGAACATTTTAAATGAGAGTGTAGAGCTATAAGATAAATAGTGACTATATTTTTATCTTGAAAGATAAAAAGAGATATCTTTCAAGATAAATATATCTTTATCTTGAAAGATAAAAACATTTTTATCTTGAAAGATAAAAAGAGATATCTTTCAAGATAAATATATTTTTATCTTGAAAGATAAAAACATTTTAAAGGAGCGTAATATAAACTATGATATATTTAAAGAGCATTTATCGATTTTTAAAGAGCATGATATCAAATCTTCGTGCTGTTGAATAAAATATAGCTGCTCCAGTTGTTCTACCAAAGAAATTTAAACATTAGTTTTATCTATTTATTTGTTTATCTTCCATTGAAAGATTAGTAAAAAATTAAATTTATGTCTTCTTACATTTTTAGGAAAACCACGGCCTACCGTCACATGGTGGAGAGAATATTCCCTTCTGGATGACACTTACTCATTCATTCCTGGTGATAATCTTGTTAGAAACGAGCTGAAAATTCCGGAATTAAAACGCCATGATTTATTAGCTGTGTTGACGTGCCAAGCATCCAATAATAATATTACGGTACCAGCCTCATCTGCTGTTTCGCTTGATTTGAACTGTAAGTACATTTAATTTATTTAATTTATGTATGACTAATATTACTGTGCGAAGACAGTTTGCTTTGTATAAGTACTTTTTGAGTTATACATAATGAGATACTTTTTTATCTTTATGTTGTTTGGTACATAAGTAAAACGTATGTTTGCAGAGAAGTTTAATAATTTCAACGTGTCATATAAAATAATTAAAGGAAATGGCACATATGATAGGTTTTATGCAAATTATTAAAATTTCAACATCGGTTCTTAAAGAAAGATATTCGCGTCCAAAATTATCCTTGCACAAAAGCATGAATTTCTCAACTATTGTTTAATAAATATGAATGAATTAATTCCGAGTGACAAATAGCATTGAGACTTCTGGTATTAAATCTTCAAAGCCTTGAGATCTTTTAGAACCGAATTTGCCATACAACAACTCTTCCATATCCGTTTCATATCCGTTATTCGAAGTTCTCTACGAAGTTCTAATCAGAGTATGTTGCCGTCCAGTAAGCTTACATAATTGCTTCCGTTTCAAGAAATTATCAACCATGTGTGCTTCTTATCAACCATGTATATTATCAACCAAATTGAGAATGCGTATATCATTCCCAGACTGAAAATTCAGATGCGCTCTACAATGCCTTCTGCTGAGCCATTATCTCGATAACTCATGGCAGGTAAAGTGTATCTGTCGAACACATGCATGGCAATATATCCATTTGTCATTATTTTGCTTATATCATCGCATATGTTATTTTTTAAGCTTTATATACCTTTGTAGAGTCATTAGTTCATTATTTTGAAGCAGAAGACATGAAAAATGAACAATGCCCTCACCGGGACTCGACGCTGGACCTCCCAAATACGCGCTGAATGTGCGACCGTTACACAACGGAACCATGCAGAAAGGAGGGTGAAATTCATTTATGTTTGTGGCTATGTTTACGTTACTGGCTCCCTTTCAGTGGCTTCCGTTCCCAAAGCGTTTAACTGCAATGGATTCAAAAAGGTTTAGAATCAACTGTTAAAGTGAATCTCAACTACTAATTGATGATAGCACATTAACTGTATGTCCTACCTGTGAAGTTCTCTATACTACTTCAGGCAAGCCTTCTTTTGTGAGATATGAAATACAGACTGCTCATTTATTGCCATAAAAGTCTTTGTAATTGTATATTTTACATGATTTTCTTGCGTTAAGAAAATTTATGTGATGGTTGCGAATTCTAAAGCCAGCTGTCTAGCCATTAAGTTAGCGTATTAACCAAAGCCCTAGATGGTTAAGGTATCCAATCCTCAAGGACCGGATTGCAAATGCTCTGGGCAATTTTTAAACCTGAAGAAAACGTCTGGTTGCATCAATATACGTGAAATAAATCATTTGAATCTCTTCGTTAAGTAGGAATTATTTGAAATCAATCTCTGAATATACAGAATGTCCATAACTTATTGACCATATAAAAATATATTTCAATAATACAGGAAAAGAGATAGACACAAAAGAAACTGAATTTTATTTAGCACTTCAAGGAATTTTATATTAATAGACTTCATCATGCCATTACTTCCTGTCATTACTTCTCGGAGAATGTCATGTCTGTTGAGTTCTTCAGAACGATACTCACTTCAAGTCTGGTTCACTTCTTATTACCATCATCTGATAATTCCTGTGTGGTTCTGGATCCTTACCATCACCGGACCTTTCCTACACCATTTGGAGAGACCATTCTTGTGAGATGCCAGGTTTTTCGTCAGTCTGAAGAGATAAGCACTACATTCTTATTTTCACACCATACACCCTTCTTAATAGGCAGAGTTTTTGTTTCTTTTCAAAACCCTTCTAGCCTATATTTGATGTACTTGTACTTCATTCAACACAATATACTGTAATAGCTATTTTAGCCAGTAATTAGATCATTGTAATAATTCCTTTTTATTTCTTACTAAAAATGTTTTAATAATATATAGCTACTTATTACTTTATCTCCCAGGAAATCACTCTGTTTGACATGCTTTTTCAAAGATCTATATAAAAAACATTTATTGATTTGTAGAGGCATTAGGTATTTTATGGAAGCAGGCAAGATGAAAAAATGAGCAATGCCTTCGCCGGGACTACGGACCTCTGGAATACCGGCCCAGCGTTTAGAACCACGACACCACGAAGGCACGCCAGGAAAGCGAGAGAAATAGATTGACATAAATAAGTTGTTTTATTTGTTTTCCAGCCACTTGTACACTGCTGCTAACCAGAGTTTTTGTCCTATGTCAATTCGTTTTAGTTTTCTTTAGACTGCAAGGCAGTGTCAGTTATTGGTGTATTTCAAGTCTTTAACTTATTTAAAGATTTTGAAGGGTTTCCAAGAATCACTATAAAAAACCGCGAATCTTTGCAGCATAAAACCCATTCTTCAGATGTCTCCAGAGAAAGGATTCGAGTCGTGTGACGTCCGGAGAACGAAATGGCCATGACACTAGTCACTCAATCCAACTATCAACATTTGGTTTATCAATCCTATGAAAATAACGCATATGTGTGCCCAATGACAAGAGGCCTTATCCTGTCGATAGAAGATTCGGCTGCATGCCTTCTGATTGCGGTACAGTAAACAGTCCTAGGATAACGAAATAGACGTCATAATTGATTGAGCTTCCGAGAGAAAGAAAGGACTACTTACGTTCTAATGAGTTAGTGCTCACCAATCGTTAACTTTAGGCATATGTCGCTCAATATCCCTTATACAGTGCAAGTTTTCTCTGACCTCCCAAATTCTGTAATTAACTTCTTCTGAAACATGAAAACTTGCTCCACCGCTGAATGCGATTTGCTGAAAAAAAACTGATCATGATTGCTCATATGGTCAAGAATGTATACAGAGAATTTCTTAAGAATGACTCGATCATTAGGTTTGACTTATTGACAAATCTGTAATTTATACGAAGTCAGTTTCAACCGTTCAAGAACAATTTTATGAACAGTTAACCTGGGAATTCTTGTTTGCCGGGTGAAACGACGAATGAATTTACTTTAGTGCACATAAAGACATCTGAAATGGCAGAAACAATTTCTCATCATCAATTACGTTTGCCTTGCTGCACCTCTAGTATTTAAAAAATGTTTGATCTCTCGAAACTGTTTAACCATCTTTTAATTAACTTTTCCATTGGTGAAAATGTATTAAATTCATGCCGAACTGTTTTTGGAAATTTCTTTCCCATAACCAGAGAACGCATACTATTTTAAATTTATGACGCCATTTTGTCTATAAACAGACATCTTTATTGTTGCCATTTACAAAAATATAAACAAGTGAAATTCTTTAAACTGAAGATTTTATCGATACAGATTATTTCCAGTTTTCTTTAATAAACTGCATTTCAATAAAATTTTGTTATCTGGTGATTAAATTATGTACACCCTGTGTGTATTTCGAAATTGTGTTCGATAGGCTTAGATCTTAAAAGCTTCTGTACAGAGTAAAATTTCTGTTGTCAAACTCAATCCGAGATTAGACCATTGCAATGTAATCAGCAACATTTAAAGTTTTAAAGTTTGTTTCAGAAAGAAAGAAATAAACAATTCTTAGCATTTAGTGTTACTAATATTTCATTTTGTCAAAAAAAAAAAAGATTCTTTTAGATATGTATTAAAACACAGAATGTGTAATTGAAATGATTTGTATTACATTATATTCAACACGTAATTTATTTATTTAATTCCAAAATTATCTGTTTTATTTGTTTAATTACTTTGATATAATCATAAATTTAAGAGAACTTTAAAGATTAACTTAACTTCAGATATTAATGTTGTAATGATTACACCTTCAAATGCAAATATCAGACCAAAATTTTGCTTTAAGCCCTAAATAATCCTTCACGCTGTAATGCAGCGTAATAAGATATTTTCAAATTTACTTTTCCTCCAAATGAAAACATTTCCACTGAATAAAGCAAACAACACATGACACCTACGACGATAACTACATCTTAATGTAAGGATCTGAATAATTTAGTTAAGGAGTCTTCACTCAGAATTCGCGATTCGAGTTGTAACACTAGTGAAGAGCCGGCTCCGGTTCACATCTCAAGGGATCTCTTTGCCATTAATTCCATCCTATTCGCGCATCTCTGCGGAATTTCCGCTCACGGCTTCTATCCCTTTTAGCGACTTTTACGTCGTTGAGTAATGAGGAGGTGAACTTAATTGAAACAGAAATTAAGCTCTCAAGTTAAGACTTCTGTCTTGGAGAAATATACTGCTTCACATATATCAGCATCAACTTTTCGTGCGGAATTTCAATAACATTGTAGTAATTTCTTTGTACTTTATCTTTAAAGTACGTACTTATTCAAGTGAAGAAGCTTTATTTTTTTTAATTCTCATAAGAAATGCAAGAGAGTAACTTCATTTGTCAGAAATAATGGGTTCGATACACTTAGGTTAATTCTTTTCGAATATCTTAGAGAACTTATTTCCGGTAGAATAAAGATGCTTACAATTAATAAACGAATGCTTTATAATACGTTTGTATATGTTTATGATTTAAAATAATAGATATTCTACTTATAAGTATTCTCACAGCGCCTACAATATATCACTATCTGCGCACAATATCTTGCATACAAATACTGTGGTTATTTTGAAAACAATGTACTCATATTACCTATATCCATTAGTGAATACATGTTAACCTATACAAAATGTTACTTCAAAGAATGGAAACATATCTTACTAGAAAACTGCGTTGATTGTATCTTTGTCTTGTGAGTTCATTGCTCCATTGCTTTGATAAATCTATTTAGAGAAAACTTGGCTGAACGGTGTTTCATACTATGAAATCTGGCTGGTGTTTAAAAGAACTATATGCCTGACTACCTATTACCGTTTGTAAAGACTATTTCTAGGATTACCATCTAAAGTAAAACATCGTTTAAAATAGCGACTACTACAAATCATTTTAAATAACCTTAATATAACGACTATTCTACTTTCAAGGACTACCGCCTAAAT